TTCTTCATTTTATTTATTATTTCACATTTACAGTTTACATATCCCAATAAACAGAGTCCAAAGAATTTAAAAAAACAATTTCATTTGTATGAGTATGAGTTTGGTTACCTTGAGCCGAAAAAAAGTTCCACACATCACTCTTCTTGCTTGTAAATTTAGGCATCTTGGATCTTGGTCTTGATTTTTTTTTTAATTGCAAAAACGAACAGCACCTAAAGTACATAAACGTGAAGTTTAAAGTTGGACAATGGACAATTTATAAATCAATTGTCAACTGTCATTGTAGACCACAGATCTAGATCTGTGTTGTCGTTGTCGACCGTGACGGTAGAAGGCAGTAAACTCTGTACTACGTACCATAGAGTTCATTGGTAGACAGTAACGCGCAAGGCTGCCAATAGAAATAGAGAGAGATGGGCCACTCACGTCGTTCTCGACCACGGATTCTTAAATTAATTCGTGTTCTCGACTGAACCTGATCAGTGATCCGGATCGGATCACTGACCCGTGACAGTCGGGCCTCGAAAATATTGCGAGGCGGATCGAATATGATCCGCGTACTACCTAACTTTTTTCATCTGTCTGCCTGCTTTTACTAAATAACCGTTATCGCCGGTTATTACATCCAGGAAGCAGTTAACCGGTTAAACCTTAGTTTGAAAATAACCGGATATAACCGGTTAACTACATAAAGTATAACCGGTATTCGTAAAAACCGGTTATTTTTGCGCATCCCTATCATCTGTCGTCTTGTCGTCTTTGGCAGTTTGTAGAGCGAGGAAATTACACATAATTTCGTGAAATATAAAATTAAAATCACGTTTCTTAAAATCAAACGAAGTGTCCTCCAAATAGAAAATTAGTTATTTCTTCTTAATATATTGTTCTTTTTCTGAACATACTGACATCTAAAATATTTTTTGTCTTGTGACATTTCTATAAAGACTTCGAAAATGACAGATGACTCTTGGAGAACTAATACATTTAGGCAAAGTGTTGTTAACAAAATGTAAGTAAGAATTAATTAACATATTTATTTAATTATTGAAATCGGCTGGTTACTATTATCACTATTTTGTAGAGACGAAGCAATTCGTCAGTCTGGAATGAACACATCAAGAAACAGTATCGAAATGGAGAATCATGTATTTCAGAAAGCGAAAAATAAAGAAGAGTATCTTGGATTCGTTGCAAGGCTTATTCTACATGTTCGTGAAATGAGTAAGTTTTTGGTTTTTATTTTCACCATTTGATGATAAAGAATCCCAATCTGCCATAAGCTGTGATGCCAAAACTTTTACAAATAACTTATTTAAATACAAGCACAAGTACAACTGAGTATAAATTATCTTTTTAAAATTCATTTAAAATTTATATTTACAGGAAAAAAGTATGATAAAATAGAAGATACGGATTTAATTTGGATATGTGACAAGGTATTTACTTTGACATTTAAAACGAGTATTCCAAAATATTGTTTTCAGGTTACAGATAGAAATCCTCCAAGACTTGTAAAAGTTGTGCCTCTGAAAGTGCTTTTTGGGGAAGGATTAAAGGAACCTAAATTAATGTGAAATTTTATATTGAAAGTTATTCTGTATTTTTATTACAGTAAAATAAATATTTGTTACATGTTCTCACTTTGTTTACGAAATACAGAATATTGTTCATTTCAGAACCGAAACAAGGTGGGGGTATGGCTGGTCCCGGGCAGGGCCAAGTTGGCCCGGGGATGCCCGATCCCATCAATGCCCTACAAAATTTGGCTTCCCAGGGAAGCCGCAACCCGATGATAAACATGGCGCCTCAACCCGGTCAAATGGGTGGTCCTCAACAACCGACAGCCACCAATCTACTGCAGACCTTAAATAGGGGTCCTGCGCAGCAGATGATGTTGGGTAATATGTCGGGAAATATGGCAGGTAACATGCCCATGCAGGACAGGCAGAATATAGGGATGCCCCCAAACGGGAGCCAGATGACTAGAACAGACCAGATTAACAATCAAATGGCAAATCAAATAAGAATGCAACAAATACAAAACAGTGCTCTCAATCAGATGCCTAATCAGATGCAGACACATCTGAGTAATCAAATGCAGAATTCCGTGCAGAATCAGATCGGAAATCAAATGCCAGGACAGATTCAGGGACAGTTGCAGATGCAGGGCAATCTGGGTGGGGCTATGGCAAACCAGATTCAAAACCAAATGATAGGTAAGCTATATTATTAGAGAAAAGATTCATACAGTGCAAATTATAGTCGACCTCAGTTATAACAAACAAATCTCGTCTAAAATCTGTTTTGAAATTGCATGGTTATAATGAATTTGTATACACGAGTTTTAGGAGGACCCCAAGGCTCCCATTTGGGGCCATTGTTTTTTCAATAATATTAATGAGCGACTTCTCCCATTGTAAACATTTACCGTTTACAAATGTCTTATAATTATTCTCATTTATAACGGAAATTTATTTAAAATTCAACACGAGTAAATAATCTATCAAGTTGATGTGACAGTAACGATATCTTAATTCATTTTAATAATACACAATTAGATTCTGTTCAGTCTATCAAAGACTTGGGACTAGGAGTCTACTGACATTTATTCCCCATTTCAGTAATAACACTTCCACAGCATTAAAAATATCTGGTTTTGTTAACCCTTTCACTGCTCCAGACGTATATATTCGCTAAAAATTGATATGGCTCAAACTGCTCCAGACGGATTAATTCGCATGAATAGTTAAATTGGATCAAACCGTATATATTCGCGACCATGCGCATTAGTGACTCGGTTATTGCAATTGGTAAGGCGAATTTTTGCGGGCGAGCTTATACCGATTGTGACAAATATTTTTATGGAAAGAGGTACTGGTAATAATACCAAGATTGTTCATGTTTCTTTCAGTTTCTATTTAGTACATATACTGTATTTTATTCAAAATAAAATCATAAAATTTATCGTAAATCGTAATTTAACACAACATAATGTAAAACTATAAGTGGTCTAACTGCTGCAGACGTATATATTCGCACGCGATAAACTTTCGTGCACGGCGCGGTAGCTACGTTCAGACGTATTGCGCAGCGAAAGGGTTAAACAGATTAAATGTGACTTCCAATATTAACCTGATAAAGTACTTTACTTTTCTAAAGTAGGCTCTTACTTTGAGTACGCTTCCTCTGATTGGTCTTCATTTTATGAGTGTCATGTTTTGAAACTAGTATAAATACAGCAAAAATTCTTGAGACATTATAACAATAATTTGATGTACTACTTTCTGATCTTTCTCTTTATGTGCATAGAAAATATACAATTTTAAAATTATTCTATAGCATTGTCTAAAGTATTTCGTTTATACATGCTCCCCAAAATTCCTTGTTCGTCCAAGGACTACCAGAGGAAAAGATTTATTTATTTCATGTCTCTAAACACAGGGCAAATACATATGCATGAAATTATTTTATGTTCTGTTGCCCATTAATGTCCAACAATTTTTTACATCACGGATTTTTTGTTTTACTCTCCACTTTTGTGAGACAGTTGCTTTTATGTGAATTTTAATTGCATTTTTTAAACTGTGTTCCTGTTTTTTTTACTCTATTGTGAAGGTATTGAGTTGATTCAAACTGAGTTTTTTAAGTGTTATCAAATCAAATTATGTTCTTCAGTATCAGAAATCTAGACAAACCAAAGATGTCTAACCTCACAGACAATATTCCTAACTGTTGATATTGCGGGAAACAACTACTCTATTAAATTTGTTTGAATTGGCTTGATATCTTCACAATTGAGTAAAAATATGAGAGATAATTATATGTGTTTTAAAAAGTCTTTTTTTATTATATCTCACTTTATAATTTTATTTTATTACTTGTACTTTACATTATTACTTACTTATTATTAGTTACCTGACTGTAATTTTATTTAAAAAAATTGGCCCTGACTTGTAATTTTTTTTTTCGCCAGACATGCCAAGTGGTGCGGACGATGATTTGGAAGCATATAAAAGTGATAAAATATGTAAAGTGTGTAACACAGTGGTAGATAAACAAAGCCTAAAATGTAATGGTTTAAAGTGTAGTGTTTATTTACACCAAAAATGCTTTGATTTAATGTCTGCAATATTTCCATTAGAAAAGAAGAATTGGAGGTGTAAAAATTGTATAGAACAAGTAAAGGATGTGTGTGCTGCAGAGTGCAGAAGCAGTGAAGATGGAATACCATTGTTAAAAAAGGAAATTGAGTGTCTAGTGAGGGAGAAAGAATTGTTAAACAAATTATTAGTGAGTTTGGAGTATACAGTGGAGTTGCAAAAGAGTAAAATAGAGAAGTTAAATGATAAAACTGTAAGTAAAAACCTTTCTGTGCCACATCTTGCTGATAAATCTAAAAACGCCACTTCTTGTAGCGATATCGCAAAGTTAAAAACTACAAATATTAACTTGTCAACAAATCCTGTATTGTTAGTAAAAACATTGAACAAAAATGAATCAAACAAAGAAGTCGAAAGAAATTAATTCTAGCGAATTAAACAAATATAAATAAAACTAAGTTGACAAAAGACAGTGTATTAATTAGTTGTGAAAATAAAAATTCCTTCGAAAAACTTCAAACCACCTTGAATCAAAAAATTTGTGCGACCTACCAAGTTGTTGAGGTTAAAAAGATGAATCCGTGGATTATAATCTACGGTGTTGAACAACAATTTGGTGAAGATCGAAACCTGGCTGCTAATATAATTAATGACAACAGCCTTGGCGTGCTAAATGAAGACATAATTGTTATTGCTAAACTTAAGTACAAATCACTGTTATACATAGAAGTGTCACCGACTATTGTTATTTGTTCGTCAGTTGGAGAAAATGTGTTATTAAACAACATATCAATGTTGTTTGTTGTTTTAGATGCAATAAATATGGTCATCTCAAAAAAGATTGTAGATCTAATAATCCAAGATGTCCACTTTGTTCTGGTTCTCATGAAAAAATTCAATGTTCAAAAAGTGGCAACAAATGCTGTAATAACTAGAAATGTGAATAGCAAATTGCACTTAAATTTACCAACATATGCTGTAGTTGACTCTGTATGTGATGTTTATAAATCTAAATTAGAGTAAATTAAATGTAAAATTAACTATGAATAAATTTCGTCAAAGAAATATGTTAAAAATAGGCCACTTAAATGTACGTTCTGCATTCACAAATTTTGATAACTTTTCTATGGTACTAAATAATAATTTTGACATATTTGTGTATCCGAAAAATGGATGGATGATAGTATACCGGCGCATATATTAAATATTCAAAACTATAACATACTTTTAAGAAATCGACGTCAAAGGGGTGGAGGGGTCTGCATTTATGTGAAAGAATATTTTGATGCGAAAGTTGTACTTCAAGATTTAAAAATTCTGGACGGTTTTGAACTTGTTTGTTTAGGTAAATTACAGTTCTTAGTTCGTGTTTTCTACGAAGCTCCTAAATTAAGTGAGATATAATGTGTTGATCAAATGGACGATTTGTTATCATTTATATGAAAATATCATTTTTTTAGGTGACATCAATATAGATCAATTTCATGAAAATGCATTTTCGTATTTTATGCTCATCACGAATTACAAAGACGTCTAGTACACGTATCGATGTCATTTTTTTAAATAATCCTTCGATTGTGATAATTTCTGTTGTTATGAATGTAGGTAAAATTTTGGACCACGAATTAATTTTTTTAGTTAAATATCCGCTTTTCACGACCGCAACCATTTGTAAGAACATATATAAATTTTAAATATATCAATATGACTGATTTTCTTGTAGATCTACAAAATTCAAAATCTAAATAGTAAAATATTATTCTTGTTTGATAAACACGCGCCTTATATTACATCTCACATTACAAAACCATTTGCACCAGTGGCGGTTTTACCATAAGAGCTGCGGAGCTGCAGAACACATAAAATTTTATGTATTTAATCATATTAAATGTCAACAAAATATTTAAAGAATCCGAATGTACTCGCGCTAAAATAAATCTAGGAGCTTATATCATTATTTATTGCGACGCGAGCTACGCTCCTTAATATATGCAACCTCATATACACAATGTGTGGACAGCGAACAATTATATGCGTCCAGTACACGGAGATAGCTTTTGCGGCTGCAATAGTCACAGCGCTGCAGTCTGCACTCTGTAGTAAATGCAGTAATATTTCGTACGTGGTATGTGGTGGTTTATTTCAGCGAGCGGCACGTGTGAATATTTTCGTTTAGGCATCTACGGATATTATAGTTATTAAAATGAATAGCGTTTCGTTTAAAAAAAAACTTTGTTTGGTTCTCTGCCTTATGAGGATAAACTAAAAATAAAAGAAGTAAAAGTTATAAAAAAACAATAATGTATACACAAAAGCAGAGTGGGTGTGCGGGTGTGATTTAAAATATTCACTGTTTTGTTTTCCGTGCTTACCTTTTGGTGGGGATAAAGCATGGACAATATACAGTGTGAAAGATTTAAGTCATTACGTCTTTAGGTAAAATAAACATAAGAAGTCAGTTAGATTCTGCATATTGGAATAACATACGGAAACATATGAACAGGTAATGAAAAATTGTCATGTATTATTTAAAATCATAGATTGCATAAAATTTTGCGGAGCTTTCGAATTAGCACTTCTCGGACACGACGAGACAGAAAATTCGGACAACCCTGATGTGTTTCGTGGACTCATAAATTTTAGTGTAGATCTTGACGACATTTTAAAAGAACATCTAGCCACATTGGTATGACCGGGATTTTCTGTGATTGTACCGCGAATTAGCTGTATGGTCCCGGATTTCGGATTTGCACGTATAACTCCCGGAATATAATATAATGTACATATATATAAAAAAAGATAAAGAAAAAATCATAACACGCCGAGGAAAATTAAAATTCGTTGAATCGTTGGTAAATTTCACAAACGATTTTTTTTTATAAACAATATTCAATAATTTAATAAAATATATTTAGTTTATTCCAAATTATTATACCATCAGTAGGTAATTCGTAAATGGATATTTCAAAAAGGTATCAATTTCAAAAATCATTCTTGTGAAAATCTGTATTTTTTTATAAATTCATTGTTCCTTGAAATTCAGAAGTGCCAGGAAAACGCGTGACCTTGAAAATTTTAAAATTTTTCGCCTGCGGCGCCATTTAGAGACTCCGAGCACTTAATATCCCGGAATTCAATTCAACAAATGTAACAACCCTAAGCAGAACACATTCAATCAATGCTCACGCGCCGCCACTGATTTGCACCATGGATAACTCAAAACATTAAATGCTTAATAAAGGAGCGAAATAAGGCTCTCCAAAACTATAAAAAAAAATAAAATAGTTTCCAGTTAGAACTGTTATAGGGAATTACTTAATTATACAGTGAATGCAATCAGGCATGAGAAAATTGCATATTTAAATTTTCATGAAAAAACTCAACTATAGATTTTTGGAATTCAGTTAAGAACATAAGGACGTTCGGTAGAGATAGCGGGGGGAAACATTTGCGGGGTAAGGGAAAACTAGCGATGAGTGAAGACTTGACAAAGCCGTACGGGTCTTCAATGTGTGAGTGTTCATGTACACGCATCAGGTGTCTGCACTGTCTGCTCATCTGCTGCGTCGGTTACGGCAGCGTATGTGTATGTTCAATTTGTTTGTGATAAAGCTATAAGTATTTGCCTTTTATTTGTTATAAAAATGTAATAAAAATGAATAAATAAATAATTAAAAAGACTTGTGACAATTGTATTTATATTCATAGATTTCATTCGTAAAAATGCCCAAATCCAAACAGTATAACCTCCAAACTACGAAGAATGAGAAACTTGCGACAATGCCGTTGTGTTTCTGTCGAACTCTTATTTATTATTTTATTCATAAACGAATCAGATGATCGTCGAGAAACTTGGTATACATTAAATTAATAACATTATCTTTGACATATAAAAAAATTGGCGAAATTCATTGGGCCAATTTTCTTAAAACTGAGTTTTTATCAGTTTTCCCATAAGCGACCGTGTTAAAATGACTGAACATTGAAATTCAATAACGAAAATGAAACAGATGAACCTCTTGAAATTTTGACAGGTTTATTTTAACAACAATAAGAATGTCTGGTCAAAATTTCAAAAAAATTCATTGGAGGGTTTTATCTCTACCGAACATCCTTAAATCTAAATCATAGTCATAATGTACATATTCCTACTCATCTTTAGAAACCTAATGAGGTAAATAAATATTTTTCTATAGTGTTTAGCCCTAGAGATAATTGCCAAAATAATACAAAATGATACAGTTGCAATAGGTTTGGTGATGGTATGCCATTCAAATTTTCATTGGCAACGATAGAGCAGATTAGTACCCTACTCAGTCAACTGAAGTCAAATGCGTATGGTAGTGATAATATAAATGCTGTTATATCCAAATGTGATGTATATAATAAATTATTGTCTAGAAACTGGCTATTTTCCTGATATTTGGAAATTATCCATCATTAAACCTCTTGCAAAGAAGAACGATCCAGAAAATTTTTCTGATTTAGGACCAATTACTATAATTCCCACTTTATCGAAGGTATTGGAAAAAGTTATCCAATCTCAATTATATAATTATGCAATTGAAAGCAAAATTATTCCTTGTCAGTGTCGTTTTCGCAAGAATCATAGCACTACGGCGATTTTAGCAAGTACTTTGGATAATGCATTACGATCTATAGACAATAAAAATATTACAGTATTAATTTTGCTTGTTTTTTCCAAAGCATTTGATGCTCTCGATCATTCCCTTTTATGTGCGTTACTATGGCTTTGATGAAAGTTCTTTAAATTTTTTTAATACCTACTCCAACAGACAGTTTTATTTAATACTGTATTTTCAGATATTGCTCCTATAATTTCTGGGGATCAGTTTTAGGACCAGTGCTATTTTTGATATATACTACAGATATTTTTCATTCTATTAGATACAGTGAAATGCAGTGTTATGCTGATGACACTCAATTATCTTACTCTTTTAAACCAGAAAATATATGACCTGCTTGTGATTACATAAACACCGATTATTATGGACAATATCTTTAAAAATTTAAAAATACATATACAGGGTGATTCAGAACTTATCCAAAAAAAAAAATCTGGATGTTCAGGGGACTCTTACAAATACGATTTCGTAAAGAAAAAATCAAAAAGGGCAGTTCAAAAATAATTTAAAAATACACTTCTGCACGACACTGGAAACTGATCCACTGTAAAACCTGACCCTGCACAATGCGACCGTTATGACGACAGTGATAAAAATGGACAAAAACTTGAAAGAATTTCGCAAGGCAAGAAATAAATAGAACTTTATAGCACCTATTTTATATCAGCAAATTCATCTGATTTTGCCGCTATTGTTATTATTAATCAATGAAATTAATTTGTGGTTTTAATTAATAAAATAATTTGACATACTTGATGTTACAATAACTGTTCAAAGTTTTGTCCACCGACGTATAAACACATTTGATCCTGTCTTACTAAGTTTCTATAAACTAACACAAATGTTGTCTTGCTTCACCATAACACAAATGTTTCACCATAATACAAATGTTGTCTTACTTCACCATGAATTAAAACGATATCCATCAACTCCGAGTTGCTATACACAAACCATTTTTGACACTAACTGGGTACTAAAAAGCTATTATAAACACTATCGCAACGACGACTGTATTGGGAGTCGAAGACGCCACGTGGCTCTCACGCGTTTTGCGAATGACGCTAGAGACTACAGTTGTCCAGCAATGTAGTGTTTGAAAGTAGTCCAACTTCAATAATTTTTTTCTCGGAAACTATAAGGATTTTACAAAAATTTTTTTTACAATATTGACTCCATTTCTCATGCCGCATCTATTCCCAAATTTTTTTGGATAAGTTGTGAATCACCCTGTATTTATATGTAATCACATTTTAGAGGTATCATATGTAGTAAAAAATGTAGGTTTTATTTTAGTTTAGATACATCTTTGCGGTTTAAAGAGCAGCATGTTTCAAAGTTAATAAGGAAATGTTATGTCACCATAAAAACTATGTATGAATATTCATATCATGAATTTCAAAGTTTGAAAAAACTTATTGAAGCATACGTACGTACGTTCCATAATTGAATTCTGGAAATATTGTTCATTTTGCCTTTTTAGATAGTCAAACAAAAAATTGTCTACAAATAAATTCAAAATTTATGTTGCCGTTTTGTATGCCGATTAAGGAAATATGATCACGTTTTGAATAAAATAAGGGAACTCGGTTGGCTAAAGTTAGATAATTTTTTTAAATATCATATTTTAGTTCACAAAATTATGAATACCTCTGAACCCTCATACCTTCGACAAAAATTAATTTTTAGACAAAATCTCCACTGTGTTAATGTACGGTGTGCTGGTTTGCTTTCATTACCAAGATATCGGACATCCATGTTTCGTAGGTCATTTTCTTATAATGCTGTCACAATCTACAACAGTTTAGACTTAAACTGCTTTTTCTCGAAATGCAGTAACTTGCCTTTGTTCTGTGATATTTTTTTTCCTTTTGTTTGGTTTTATAGTGTAACTAACCTATTTTAACATTTATATCCATTTTTTTAATTTTATTTTATTTTTATATATCTTTTTTGCACGTATTGTATATGTTTAGACAGGTACATCATCCGAAGTAATTTAATATAGGTATAATGAATTAAATTTTTTATAAGGTTAAGTAGAGCAGCCATTGGCTAGACTTCGCCTTATGTAGGTACAATTTTTAGAAATAAAGACATTATTATTATTACTATTATTATTGTTATTATTAAATTCACTTTTAGGAACTAAAATCACGTCATATCTCTTATTTTTTTTTACTTTTTTGAAATAAACAAACATATTTATTATTACTTCTGTTTCAGTACTGTCACAGTTATAGGCTATGGGCTTTCTCACATTCCTCGATGTTCGGTATAACCGAGGTGCACTATATTTAAAATTTTAAAAACAATATCAAAATTGTGCACATCAATCATGCATGTTTTTAATTATTAAAGAAGCCAAAGAGCATATAAAAGTATAATTACATTTTGTAGGTGGCATGAACCAAATCCCCCAACAAAAGGCACAAACGATGATAATGAACCAGATAACCCCTAATTTCCCGCGAAATCCAACCCCAAACCAAATTTTCAATCAGAGTCCGTCCCCCTCAGTCCAATCCCCAGCCGGTCTAGGCAGTCAACCACCAGTTGCTTCCCCCGCCCTGGCACCCTCGCCTGGAGCACCCATGAGCATGATGGGGGCCGGGGCCCCACCGAGATCAGTCGGTATGGCTCCAAGTCCCGGCAGCACCTTGAATACTCCCGGTCAGCCGAATCAGAGCCCGATGGGTGGCGGGGCCATGACTGACGATCAGGCTTATAGGGAAAAAGTCAGGCAGCTCACTAAGTACATCGAGCCTCTGAGGAAGATGATCACGAAAATGGGAAATGAAGGTGAATAAAGTCTTTCGTACCAATAATCCGTGAAAATTAATATTTACGTCTTTTTAGATATCGAGAAGATGAGCAAGATGAAAAAACTCCTGGAAATATTGTCTAATCCTCAAAAGAGGGTACCTTTGGACACCTTAAAAAAATGTGAGATAGTACTGGAGAAAATTGACTTTAAAAGGGGGGACGGTAGCGTTCCCGCCACCTCTACGGCTCATCTGCCTTTTAAAGAACCCCATGTTTTTCATTCACTATTGGATGCAGTTAATGCCAATCTACAGAGTCCTGTTATCAATCACACCCTGCACCGTACATTCGGGCCGACACTTGAAGCCCTTTTTGGTCCAGAAATTAAGTAAGTTACACCTTTAATTATCCCAGACCCTTATAACAATATTTGATAAATTATCGTTTAATGTGGCCCGTTTGTTTTTTGCCTGTCTGGCACCCTGTTCTCATTTTTTTTTTAATTGTTAGTGTTGCGAGAAACAACTACTCCGAGGGCTATATGCCATCAACCGACGAACAAACCAGCTGTTTTGCGTTGTATCGTCACGACAATGAAATACATTGTACGCGGGAGCGCAAATGTCTCCATCTATCGTGCTGACTCCCAATTGTGCCATTCAAATGACTACAGTAGAAAGCGACCTGCTATATTGTAGGTACTTGTTGCACGACTGCCACCTATAGAGGGCGAAGACAATGTTTTAATTGTCAGTGTTACGAGAAACAACTACTCCGAGGGCTATATGCCCCTACCGGCATTGAATTATACTCGCAACACCTAGGGTCGTTCGTCAGTCTCACCTGTCTCACCAGTCTCACTATTAGTCCTGATGAGGACTAATAAGTCCGAAACCGGTCTGTGCCTGGTGGGTTAAACTGACGAACGACCCTAGCTGTTGTACTGGGTGTCGCGAGTATAATTCAATAGGTAGGGGCATATAGCCCTCGGAGTAGTTGTTTCTCGCAACACTGATAATTAAAACATTGTCTTCGCCCTCTGTGAGTGGCAGTCGTGCAACAAGTACCTGCAATATAGCAGGTCGCTTCCTTCTGTAGCCATTTGAATGGCACAGTTGGGAGTCAGCAAGACAGATGGAGCCATTTGCGCTCCCGCGTACAACACCCTGTTGTCATATTTCAACACCTATTTTCCATTACAGTTTTATTCCCTGCCACTCACTCTGTTAGTTTTGTACAGTTTGTTTAAAAAGGTAACTACAGGCAAAAGTGATAAATGCACTCATACAACTCGGATTAAAATATGGGTGAACAAAATTGTAACCCTGCATATTAATTTTTATCCCACTTCTGATGCAACATTTCCAGATTGTTGTGTCTCTAAATTGCACAAATATATTTTCTTTAAGACTGGTACCCCCGCTAAAGAAACTAAAACTGGAGGAACCCACTAGCGACATTCCCGACGTCTTACAAGGCGAAATAGCCCGCTTAGACCAACGATTCAAAGTCTCTCTAGACCCCAACCAGCAACCAGGCTCGAAATCCATCCATCTTACGTGCTGGCTGGACGACAAACATCTACCGTGTGTCCCACCCATGTCTCTAACTGTCCCCGAGGACTATCCAAAGACGGCCCCGACCTGCCACATGGCACCTCAGGAATACAATGCCACTCAGTTCCTGTCGGCGGTGCAAACCGCGCTGTTGGCGAGGATTAAGAAGCTGCCCAAGCATTTTTCGGTGTCGCAGCTTTTGGACACGTGGGAGATGAGCGTCAGGCAGGCTTCTGCGCCCACAAATACCCCGGTTAGTACCCAGACGATTATGATGGGGCTGTGAAGGATGTAGGTAGTGTGCCGTAAATTATTCTTAGGAAATATTGTGTGTGTAATTGTTTCAGTACTCAGATCGTTACGAGTAAGTAAATGTGTAAGTGTCTTCGTACAGTGCCTTCATAAATGATTACAAGCCACGTGATCAGTAATTGTTTGGGGCAGTGTCTTTATTTTCTTCGCGTTGGCTATTAAATTCCGATAAAATTATTTACTTTTCGGTTTTACGATGCCGCTTGTTCAATAGCGGCAAATTACAAATTTCTTTACAACAAACAGTAATTTGAGTTTCAAACTAACTCCATTTTATAGAAAATCTACGTTAGAATGGAGGAAAGTCTGTTATTTCTATTTGTGCATTAATTCATATTTAGACAAACAATAAAATCTATAAATGTGTATTGTAGGGATGGGCGGTTATTGAAAAATAACCGGTTATCGGTTAACCGGGTATTTTTCTTAATCGGTTAAACCTGGATCGGTTAACCTCTACCTAAAAACCGGTTATTGAAATAACCAATAAAAACAATGATGTAACATTTAGAGACAACAATTATCACAAACAGCACATCTAACCTAAAATATGCAATTTTCCCGCGCAATTTCCACTGCACTGCAGCCTGCCATAGAACACATTCCCGTCAAGGAAGCCTAATTAGCATAGTCCGTCTCACAGACCACTAAATAGAATGTCCGGCCGACGATGGCTGAAGTCTGATCTACTATCAAGTTTAGGGTTAGAACATAATATACTTTAATCGTAAACTGTACTGTGAGCTAGAGCTTAAATTTTCACTCGGTCTCCGTAAATTAACCGGCACATGGTTTTTGACATAAATAATCGGTTATCATGTTAAACCGAACTCGGGAAATAACCGGTTTTTGACCGGTTAACCGACACAATAATCGGTTATTCATTTAACCGGTTATTTTTGCCCATCCCTAGTATATTGCTGGTTGCCTATTTGCTATAGAGCCCTCTTAATATGATTTATTTATTCATTATAGACATTATAGACAGATAAATACGATAATTTTGGTCCATTTACGATAATTTCACGCTGCGGGTACGATAATTGCCTCACTTCAGGTTGTGAACACTGATCAAGATTACATTAAAACACAACGTTCTATTAAACTGGCCAGTGATTGGTGTAATGAGACTTTATTCAAAGCGATCACATCTCGATCGTAGACGTAACAGTTTGTCACTGTTCATCGTAAATGAATCGTTAATTTTGCCGATGCTAAGATTTACGGATTTTTAGTTGCTGGTGCCTGTCGTGCAATGTTGGTTGCCTAGGCTCGCAAGTTACGTGGCTTTTAGTCATTTATGAAGGCTCTATTAGTGAATAATTAATAGTTGAGGTTTTTTATTGTTTTTTAAATTTTTTGTAATGTATTTGTGAAGTATCCTAATATATATTCAGTGAGACAACTTTTTGCAAGTTATTTTATTTATTTTCATAAAAAAATTAATAAAAGACTATACAGGGTGTTCTGTGATTAGTTGACCAAACTTGAAATTTTTCAAGATATTTAAAGTAGAGGGAGCTACTATTTATCTAATTAATGGTACAAATATAGTATATTTGGATATATGTAAATACATTAACCAGTGATGGAAGTACAGAAAGTTCCAGGAAGATGAAAGTTAACGTCATACAAACTTAAATGTTATAAAAGTGGTTAAAACTAATATCCTATCCATTCATCAAAATTACTTTCTGCGGTCAGAAATATTTCAACAGATAGGTATCCGAACCCGTGACGGCAACAAATCAGTGGCAGTGTTGCCAATCATGACAATAAAAACATATTGAGCGGCGCAAATTTCTTTACGTATTCCAAAAAAAATGAACAAAGATGATAAGTACATGACTGTGATGATTATTATTATACTAAACTAATGCAAAAAAATTAAAGGGTCAAGAGAATTTCTGAAATTTTTCCGTGACTTTTGACAGACTGTATTTAGGTGAAAAATGGTCGTATCGGGAATTAAAAAGAGGCATTTTGAAGCTTTAAGATTCTAGTTTTTAGATCTTTCGGTCGAAATTTTTTAGAAGCTACGGTTATCATAAATCAAAAGTCTCAAAAATCACTTAAAAATTTCAGAAATTCTTTTGATCCTTTAATTTTTTGCATTAGTATATATGAAACATTTTTATTTTAATAATGATAAATTTCAAATGGAAAATGATAAAATAAGAAACTAATCAAATCAATCAACAAATTAGATTTTTACTTGCCAAAATTTAGTTCAATAAACAAATATACATAAAAATTAGGTAAAATTCCGTAGAATTGAATGAACTATTTTATCCCAAGCTGAATGTTAAGGCTTCATTTTAAAAATGGCGTCCAAAGTTAGCAAAAAACTGGTTTTTTCCATTAAAAAAAAAACAATTTTTTTCGACCCAAAAAAAGAAGTGCAAGTGCAGAAGTTGTTTCGGTAGATTTATCGCATATTTTGAATCATTTTGCAATACACGCACGATTTGCACAGGAAAGTACAATTCTTAGAGAAAACTTTAAGCCCAAGATGAGTCACGTAAGTGCATTACTGTATGATTTATTGAAACTTGAAAAAAATGTCTTCTTTTCAAAAAACTCAATTTTTGCAAACTCAATTTTGCAATTTTACAAAAATAAACTTATTCTACTTGCCAATCCTGAAAGTTTTGTAAAATAATCTTTTTTCGTTTTAGTTTTAAAAAAGAAGTTTTAAAAAAATGCGATTTTTAGCCGTTTTTTTGCAATAACTAATCAAACTTTATCAATTGACAAAAATTTCTATAATTTTTGTATAAACATTTTTTTCTAAAATGTTTTTTTTTTAATTAACTTTTTTGCGAACTTTGGACACCATTTTGAAAATGAAGCCTTAACACTTAGCTGGGGGTAAACTAGTTCATTCAATTCTACGAAATTTTTCCTAATTTTTACGTGTCTTTGTTTACTGAACTAAATTTTGGCAAAAAAACGAGGTATTTTTGACAATTTGACTGGTCTATAGGTTAACATGTCTGCATCGATCAGAATACCACATTTTGCCTTTGCTCATCTCGCCTTCCCGTTAAGTCATTTTCTCTCTTCTGTTTTGACGTGTGAAAACACTGTACTAACATAAAATTTTAATAAATAAATAAATAAACACGAGGATGAAATCTGAAAGTATCTATAACCAACAGCGCTTTCTGTGACAGAAGTAGAAACTAAACATGTCAAATACCTATATAGGAAATGTAATTCCTATTAATTTTTCCTTGATCTTTGATGATTATTGTATACAGGGTGTTTGTAAATAAGTGCGAAATATTTGAGGGAGTGGTTGCCGAACCTATTTTGTGAAAAAAGTTCATATAAACGTAGGTCGAAATATGCTTCGTTTCTGATACAAAGTGTTTAAATTTCAATTTTTTATTTATTTTTATTAATTATTTGAGTTTTTAAGATATTGACTTGAAATTTGAAAAACACTGGAGGGATAAATGTGCATTTTTTGGAGTAATCCGAATATTTCTACTTACACCAGTAGCGTTCGTGCGAGAATGCCACCTTTTTTTTAATTAAAAAAAACGGTATGCCACCGACTCTTTCCTGTTTTGATATTTTTTTAGAAATCCGTCATCAATACTGAATGAATTTGGCCTCTTCAATTTTTTTCGTGGACGCACCGTTTTTGAGGAAAAAAATAAAACATATTTTATTGTAGGTTTTGCTAATCTTTTATTTAAAGGTGCAAGTAGAAATATTCGGATCACCCCAGAAAATACACATTTATCCCTCCAAACCATTTTTCAAATTTCGAGTCAATATCTTTAAAACTGAAATAATTGATAAAAATAAAAAAATTCAAATTTAAACACTATATCTCGAAAACTAACATATTTCGACATACGTTTATATAAACTTTTATACAATACTGCGTGTACCAAGTAAGTACAACAAACAATTTGTTCCAAATATATTATTTATATTTCTGCGAACCAATTTGTACAAAAAAACCATAACATCACTAAATAATTTAGTTACAACAATTATAAACCTACATATGAACAAAATACAAAAGTCATAAAAAGCGTAAAAACCAATATCACCATTCCCAGCCAAAGGGGCATTGTTTCTGAAAGAAATAAAAAAAAATTTATACACCAAAATTAATTTATATGAAATCAAAAATGTGAGCATGCTCGAGGAAAACTTATATTATTAAATTCTGTAAAAATTTAAGAAAGAAGTAATTTATAAAGAATTAAAGGAGTCTGCTATTAATTTTTCTTTAAATTTGATCAATGCTGGTTGAGAATTATCAGAGATGGGATAAGTAACGATAGAATAAATATTATGTGATATATCTATCCATAAAGTGCATAAAATTAATTTTAAACCGTCACATTTGACACTATAATTTTAAAAAATATAATGTTGAAATTGAAAATTTTTCTATAATGAAAAACATTTTTTTTTACTTTGTTGCCAGTTTTGTAATGTGGCTCAACGTTTAATTCAAATGTGATTGACTGTTTCTCCTTAAGATTTACTTAATTTTTTTAAATTTAATTTACAATATCCAAAAAAAAATAAAAAATTATTTAAGAAACGATAAAATGCTGACAATATAATAAACTGTATTGAGTTATTGGTTTTATTATTAACTACAATATATCCACAAAATTTTAATAATTTGAATTAAATATTTAACTCGGTTCATATCAAAGAATACTATTCACTTACTTCTATATGGCAATGTATGTATACAAACTTGGTTATCCACCGAGATGGATAATACTGCGGCCTCGGCTACACTACATACAGTGTGATTCTCTTTCTCTGTCGATGCCGGCAAAAACTCTAAGCCAGTGACGAACATGGAATGTGCACCGGGAATATTTAGAACACACTAAAAAGATATATATGCATTTTCAAATTCCCAACAATTTAACTTATGTCACCTGTAAACTAAATGCTACGTATAACAACACAGATCCACCAAACATGGTGCCAACAGCAACAAATCTGCCGTCATCTCTCACAGCCAATGCAGAGAGACTTTCGTCGAACTCTGCAAATTTTTTTAAAATACCTTCTTCTGGTAGCCACTGTTGAAGGTACGACTTTTGCTTCTTTGCTAAGCCAGTGGGGTTAGCCAACATGTACAAAGCTGATTTTTTCTCATTTTCTACAATTCCAAACCTAAACACAATGTTTAATAATTACCTAAAAGAATTAATTTAGTTTGTATTCTTACCGACATCTTTTGTATAAATACTTTGATCCTTCTGGTTGCTTCCAACTTAACCGTTTGTTTTCTTTTCCTTTAACACAATCCCAAAGAATTGCGGCTCCGTCTTTTGCAATTGTAATTAAATAGTTACCATATTGACTAAAGTCTACGTCATCAATTTCTTTTTGATGTGCTTTTAATACGACCAAGGGCTGTAAACTTGGAAATTTCCACAATCTTACGCACCCATCTGTCCCACCTAGTTCAAAATTAATTTTATATTAAAATAACACTATACATTGCTGAGTATTACCTGTGGCTAAAAGTTTACCATTGTGGTTAATTCTTGCTACTCTAGATAAAGGTTCTGGTCCATTAAAGTCAGTTTGTACACTGTCTGAAGGGTTTATATTAAACTTTAATCTCTTTTTTATATTTTTGTTATTGTCTGTCTTTTCTTTAGTCCGTGGTTTACGTTGACGTATTTCAGAATGGTTGTTACCGATATTTTCAATATCTACTTCCTCTCGAACTAGCACACTGTTAACATTATACAAGTGACAATGACTTTCTTGACCAGCCACTAAATATGAATGTTTGTTGTCACTAAAGACTGAACAATTCATTACTACGTTTCCACCTGTTTCATGCCTTGTAACTTCTTCCGCAACAAATTTTCGACCATCATGAGATAATTCAAATATTTCCTAAAATTCTGGACATATTAAGAGCACAAGACGGTTCACAGTCACTTACGAATCCATTTGCAACCCCCGTTTTCGAAGTTCCACCACCTCCACCAACTAATACGTGTCTGTTTGTTAACATTTGAACGGTATAAAGAGGAAAATTTACGCGGGCGAGAATATCATCTATGTTTTTTCGTATTGATGCCATTATTTCTGTTTTAATAAGGACCAATTTTTAAGAAATCAGAAAGTTCCACGTAGATAACCTCTAAAAACAACAGTACAACTTAACTCAAACATCTTTAAATCAAGGCAGCCACCATTGCAATTGACAGAAATAAAATAACTAGAAGATAAGTACTACACGAAACGAACAAGATAAGTCACGAGGTGCATTCTTTTTTCCAAAATTTCAAACAAGGGATTTGTTGATTTGTTTGGATCAATTTATAACAGTTATTTTTCGTTTAGATACTTCTATTGGCAACACTGCTCTAAATCAGTGTTGCAATGCAATCTTAAATTATTTATTTTAAAATTGGAGTATTTATAATCTGTTTGGGAATAGGACGGTAATATGCATTTTTTGGTAATTTAAAAGATTTAAATTTGGTGTATAATGGTGTGTGTAACTCAGCTTTATATTAAGAGTATCTGCCGAATTGTACCTAAGAAATATTTCGTGTTTTTAAATTTAATGTAATATGAAATGTCTGTTTGTCTCTATAATCTTTGTTATTTTGATGTTTGAAGCAATCTAAGGTAATCTGAAATTTAGCCGATCTAGGTTTTTTTTCTGTATCTTCTAGGGTAAATTATCATTATGATATAAGCAACACTGATTTATTAAGAAAATAAAATAACTAAATGAAATTGACGATGACGGTTGAGTTGGTTGAAATGGTTGATTGGTTGAATGTTGACTCATTCCAAAAATAACCATTACATTATTTTTGTGTTATAAACGGAAGTAGTCGTTTTTCAAATTTACTTATTAACTTAAGGACGTTTAAAATTACTGTAACTTCTCGAACCGGACTATACATACTTGAATATGTTTGGAAGAAAGAAAGAGAAACCGAAAAGGGATCATTCTGGAAAAAATTTATCTCAGGTAATCTTACTGCTGTTATTCTAAGCAAACGTTGAAAATAAACTTTGTTTCCAGTATGGATTATTTGATATTCCAACAAATTTGGACCCGGGCCTGGGAAATGTTGATAACGATGATAACTTAGGGGATAGTGATTTAGAAGCAGAGTTAGCAGCTTTAAGTGGAGGAGGAGGTGCTTCTAAACCTAAGAAGCCTGCCAGGAAAGTCATCCCTCAGGGAGAGTTAGATGCTATGGTAGCTGATAGCTTGAGAGATGCGCCTTCTGATGAAGATCTTTCTGTGGACGAAAATGATCCTGAACTGTTGGGAGAGTTGGGTGAACTGACAGGTAGAGAATGCATTACTGTTCTTTGTTTGCTAAAGTTTCATGTGATTTTTTTTTATATATTTAGGTGATGCTGAAGAAGCTCAAGCACCTCTTGAAGAATCTCCATCTGGCGGTTCGTCAGATGTAGCAAATGTATTGACTGAGCGTTTAAAAAACTACGAAACTGCTGAACGAGAAGCTAAATCCGCTGGAGAAAGTAGCAAAGCACGTAGATATGGAAAGGCTATAAAAACATTGAAGGATTTAATCAAACAAGCTAAATCAGGGAAAAGTATAAATCTAAACGATGACTCTGTTCCACCAGAAATTCATGTTGGTGCTAAGAAAGCTCCTGGTACTAGTCAAGCTGAAGATATTCCTGTATCTGCACCATCTAGACCAGCACCAGCCATACCAACTTTCCCAGTGGAACCAACTCCTGTGCCACAATTCGTACAAGAGCAAGTGGAAGAAAAGAAACAAGAAATCGACTCGGAATTGTTAAATATGCTCGCAGAAAGGCAAAAAGAATATAAAATAGCAGCTCTGAAATGTAAAAAGTCCGGCGACTCGTCCACCGCTATTAAATATGTCAAGATAGCGAAACAATTCGACACCGTTATAGCGGCCGTGCAAAGTGGCCAAGCAGTAGATTTGTCCAAGATGCCAGGTCCTCCCAGTGAGGCAACCTCTCCGCCTGAACCTAAAGTCGAGGAAAGCGAAACTCAAAGAAACACAATTCCAGAAATTCCCGTCCCACCGGAGGCCGCCGATTTGCCAGAAGAGACTTTAACAACTGCTTCTACAGTCCTCGAGGCTTTGGAGCAGCGCTTGGCTGTTTACAAGGAACACGAGGCGCAGGCTAAGGAACAAGGAAATTCGAGTAAGGCTCGAAGGTACGGCAGAATTGTGAAACAGTACGAACAAGCCATCAAGTCGCATAAGGCCGGGAAACCGGTGCCGGTGGATGAATTGCCGACGCCTCCGGGTTACGGGCCTATTCCCGTAGAGGGAGGAGCTGCGCCAGCTCCTAAACCGGCTCCGGCCGTTCCAAGAGAAAAACCGAGTGAGGCGCCCAGCAGTCCTAGTGGGAGTTCTCAGGGAGGTGAAGCCAGACCGAGCCAAGGTTCGAGAATGTCAGGTAAATAAGTTTAAAAAGTGTCTATTTAAGGTCTTCTTCTAGTTTCATCTCTTTTAAATTAAGTAATCGTGGGTGACCCATTGTTCATCAGTTTTAACACATTTATTTTTCATATTAAGGATTTTTTGATATCTGACAATAAAACGAGTAAAAAAATATAAAAAAAAACAAATCAGCGTTGAAGTTACGTAAAAATTTGTGTTTGTAAAATTAGTAAGATAAACTTGGTAAATAAATAGTTTCCGTAACCTGACTATTACTGGTACATTTGAAGAGCTTTTCTGCGGAGCGCAAGAGGTACACATATGGTAAAGTAATAACTTGTGTAAAAATTCTGTTACGTTTTAAATAACAACAAAGGTTTTGCAGACTTATATGAAATCTTCATTAGTCTTTTAGAAATTTAATATAATGTTCTTAAAAGCTAGGAATAGCTTCTTCTTAGGCTAGGAATCTTTGACCTGGCCTTGTTGTTCTCAGACTAGGCCCTGTGAAGGCCAACCTGTCATCAGACTCTGATGTTATCGGTTCTTGCTGTCGAATCTAAGACCGCTACAGCCAAAACCACTCCTGAGACAATGGTGGTCCTCTGAAATTTTTCATGGTAGTCACTGTAACTAGTTGCATCTAAAGTTTTCAAATGTTTCGCTATTCTTCAGTGTCGGCATTTGCAGTGACGATTCCGCAAATGCCTCACGTCAGTCACAGCGAAGCTTTTGAACAATGTCAAAGCTGGTCTAGAGGTTCTGATAGCAGATCCACCACCACAGAGCCTAGTCCGAGAATAACAAGGGCAGGTCAAAGATTCCTAGTTAAGGCTAAAGAAGTGCAATTAGCCTTTATGAAAACTAATTTTTTGTAAATATTGCCAAAAAATGTATTTTTCAAAAACTTGTCATCAAAAGTCGATATTTTCGTCAAATTTTCAGTTGACAAAGTGAGTCTGTGTTGTCGCGTAGCTGCAAAATACTTTTATGTTCTACAAAGCCGAAGTCTTTTACGTTCTAGAACAGGGGCGCTCAAACTGTCGATTGCAATCAACCGATTGATCGCGATAGCTTCAGAAGTCGATCGCGGCAACATATCCACATTCCCTAAATAAATTACCTTCAAATTGAATTATAAAGCGACCACTTTTTGTCAGTCAATCGTACGGCGTCGTAATAATAATAAAGAATGACGCCTTACACTTCTTTCTATTCCTTGAACACATCGAAATGAAAACAAATTGAAAGCAAAGGCCAGTCGTTAGTTAAATTATGGTATTTATGAGACACAAGTAAGAAATATTCTGAATGAATTTGAAAGATGTTTTTCCGATTTTAACAAATTGACGAATATTGTAACTTTCATGAGCTATCCGTTTTCTTGTGAAGATGTTGAAAAATGTGCTACTGAAATATCAAACACCTTCAAGCAAGACTTGTCTTTTGTGGAAAATGAGGTATTGCAGATAAACATCTCAAAGCAAAAGCAAGTGATCCAAAATTTTGGTCTTTTATATCTGAAGATAAATATCCCAGGTTTAAAACAAATTGCGCTTCAAATAACCGGATTGTTTGGATCAACTTATCCATGCGAATCTGCATTTTCTGAAATGAAAATTATTAAATCCAAATATCGCAGTCAGCTTACTGATGAACATTTGTCATCCTGTTTGCGATTGTCAATCAGCAATAATTAAGTGCCATCTTATAAAATGTACGCTGACGACATGTAATGCCATGCATCGACGTCCAAAGATGTCGATACTTCTTAGCGACAGTTTTTTGGACCTAGTAGATATAATTCAGATTTTGATTGTCCATGTTACAGCTCAGTTCTATCCCCCCCCCTCCCCCCCCGTTACTTTTTGGTGTCGATCGATTGCTACTCAATTTTTTTGTGGTCTGAGCACCCCTGTTCTAGAACATAAAATAAATGTCAAAATAATTTATCGTTTTTTCAAAACTTATTTATGATTTTATTAATTAAACTATGTACATTTTAAGTAATATGACATTTCAACACAAAACAGTAACTATAACTATAGTACGATTGCAGTTTGATTGCAGTTTATTTTGGACTACATGTAAATTGAAAGTGTCGGTATTGCTGTGAGTTTTTATGCCAGATCCAGTGCTGTTAGTTATCGTAGCTTTTAGTTCTGGGTGTTCAATGAGGCTGCTGCTGTAATTGTTTAGGTTTACTGTGCACGTTTATTGGCAAGTTCTGTAGGCTCTGCTGAAGATGGTAACAATTTATTTGCGATTGAAATTTTATTTTATATAGAATCTTCTATATTCCTATGTCTCCGCTACCCTATGTCATTTAATGGTGGTAATATTGGCCCCTGCATTGGCTTACATAGTGGCGGTAGAACGTCTAAAGCAGTGCTCTGTATAAATATCCGGATGAGACAAATTGATATAAGTTTCTTTTGACACATTCCTTATATTGTTCACTTGGTTAACACATTTTTCCCTGACATAGTTAACAAAAAATCTTCGTACCTCTAGTAACTGCCGGACATAAAGCACAGTATTTGCAGTATATATTCATTTGGTCTGGAAATCACAAATCAAACATCTTGGAGTATGAGTTTTAAAATCCAGAATTCTTATAGTAATAATAGAATCTTTGTCTTCTATATCGTCGATCGTTATCTTTAGTAGCTCATCTCTTTTCAAAGCTCCACAAACACCAATTATTAAAATGACCTCAAAAGTTGACCATTTGTTAAATCTAGTCAACCTGTCAATTTCCTCTCATTACAATTCTGGACTTATTCAAATATGGTATTAGTTTTGGAAATTTTCTGACATTTAAATTTTTTTTTTAGCATTCAGTATATTCTTTAACATAGAATATACTGACCATAACGTCGAAGGTTTAATTTTATTAATTTTATGTTCGAAATATGCCAGTAATACCATTTCGGACACTTTTTGAATTTTCTTCGAACCCTTTGAATTTGTTGTTCCATTCTTGCTGTAATAGTACCATTTCGCATTCTAGATACAAAAATAACTATTTCTGTAAACTAAGTTTAAAGGCTCCATTGAGTTTTGCAGAAAATTTCTTCATTTACTTTACTATAAATTTACAGGAAATCATGTTACCACTTCGCATGCTGACAAGCAAGTCCTTATACTGCTCGCCAAGCAGAAACAATTCAAACAGGCAGCTCTAAATGCTAAAAAGCAGGGAGAAGTGTCTGAAGCAAAAGAATTCTTAAGGCAAGCCAAAGGTTTCGATAAGTTAATAGAAGCAGCAAGAGCCGGATTGCCTGTAGACTGGTCTTCTATTCCAGTATCACCCGAAGCGAAATCACAATTAGACAATGAGTAAGTAGAACGTTACAAAACTTGGGAACTACGGTTCGAACAACTGACCTTTGTTGTCCAGGTACGACATAGTAATGGCCGAGGAGTGCTCCGAGGGAACCTCTGCCGATATGGACATCATCTCCCGCTTAGAAAACCAGCTCCAGAAGCAGCTGAAGATGTGCTTGACCACCCGAGACCACAACAAGGCTCTCGGAGACGTATCGGGCACGAACAGGTTCGAGAGGTTGGCTTTAAACGTTACCAAAGATCTCGACGTTATCCGTCTGGCCCGACGAACGCCGGGAGGGAAGGTGCCCAAGTTCCATTACGAGATGAAGGAGTTTTCTATCGTTAAGAGTTTTACGGACATCATGGATAACGATATGGAACTGACGGTCGTCAGGGGCATTAACTATAGCTCGACGAATCCGAAGGAGATCGACACTTACGTTAAATTTGAATTCCCATTCCCGCAGGTAAATAAAAAAAGTAACAAAAGTGTTAGTAATTTATGTATTATTATTTTTTTGTAGGAAGAACCGTATACCAATAGGACTTCTACAATAAAAGATACCAATAATCCGGAATATAACCATTGCTTCGTGATTCCAATCCAGAGATCTTCAAGGCAATGTCAGAGGGTGTTCAAAAGGCATGGCATCAAATTTGAAGTTTACTCTAAGGGGTAAGTGTATTTTACGATATACAGGGTGGACTAATTTGGAAACTCCGCATATTTCTTGAGGAAATAGACAAACGGTAATTAAGAAGTGTTAAGCCTGATTTTCCAGAGAAATTGAATGATAAAAGCAGCATCTCAACAACTTAATTTGCTTAGAAGATTCAAGGTGTTTTTTTAACTTGTTAAATTTTGTGAAGGGATAGTTTGTTCAATTTTTTTACGAAAATCTAGTTATGCATACATTTTTTTTCTATCTCAGTTTTTGACAAACATATATTTTTCTTAAATGAGAAACCACATCTTGACATCTCGATTTATTTGGGAGATACAGAGTGTTTCCCACTTTTTGACCATTTTCTGCGATGTCGAATAACTTTTCTTTAGAAAAGTTGTTCAGTTTTGTAAAAAGGTCTTTTTATAAAATTTTCTACGTAGAATTTGGTAACACCAGTTTTTTCTGCTATAATATCCAATTTTTTAAGTTATAATACATATTTGCATTGTTTCAAATTAACAGCCTCAACATTTTTAATTCGTTTAGGGAATACAATGCATTTTAAATATTTTGACCGTTTTTTGGGAAATCGAAAAAATTTTTTATTTGTAAAAATTGTTAAATTTTATGAAGTGATATTTTATTCAAATTTTTATGAATATATTAGCATATACGGCTTTATTAGTTCCTGATTCGACTTGTTTCCAGGTATTATAATGTTTTTTCTTGTAGAAGCGTACTAAAAAAACGTGATTTTAGTGATGGATGTTTTCGTTCGAATTATGGTATCAGAGAAAGTTGCAAAATTGTCAGGAATCGCTTTTTCAACATAATGAACTGAAACTTTATATTCGGGCTAATCTTTTCGAGATAAATAACTTTTATTTATAACATTTTCACCTAGGGTTGAAAATAAAGGTACTTTATTCTTGGGTCCATTTGCAGTTTTCGTCTGCCCCTCGTATATAACAAATGTTTTATGAGGTTCGATGGGCGCTGTTTTGATTTGACGACATGCAGACAATTGACAATCGAAGAAAACTCAAACTTTTTTTTTAATGGGAAACAGCATCTTGACACCTTAATTCATTTAGAAGATGCAATATTTCTTTCAAATTTTGTGAATGGATATTTTGTTCAATTTTTGACGAAATTGTAGTGGCCAATGCATTTTTTTTTCATATAAATTGCAGTTTTTGACTTCATTTTTTTTTTTTATTGTGAAACCGCATCTTGACATCTCGATTTGTTTAAGAGATACAGAGCGTTTTTCACTTTTTGACCATTTACTATAATGTCGAATACATTTTTTCTTGTACAAGTTGTTGAGTTTTATGAAAAGATCTTTTTAATCAATTTTCTACATAGAATTTAATGGCGCCCATGTTTTTTTTCTTCTATAACATCCAATTTGTGATAATACAAAGTCGCATTGTTTTAAATAGGCAACCGCGTCGCAACATTTTAATTTGTTTAGGGAGTACACTGCATTTTTAATTTTTTAAAGTTTACTTGGAAATGGAATAATTTTTTTATTTGTTAAAATTGTTTAATTTTGTGATGACGTTTTTTATTCTATGTTTCACTTAAAATCAAGTGGTGGATGCATTTTTTCTGTAACTTCCAGTTTTTGAGTTACAATACAAACCTACATTTTTTAAAACGAAAATCCACACCTCAACATTTTTATTAATTTAGGGTATACAGAGCATTTTTAATATTTTAACCGTTTTCTGTGATATCTTGATTTGTTTGAGAGATACAGTGTTTCTCACTTTTTGACCATTTTCTGTGATGTCGAATAACTTTTTTATTTAAAAGAGTTGTTCACGTTTGTAAAAAGGTCTTTTTATAAAATTTTCTACGTAGAATTTGGTAACACACAAGTTTTTTCTGCTATAATATCCAATTTTTGAGTTATAATACATAGTTGCATTGTTTAGGGAATACAATTCATTTTTAATTTCTTGACCCGTTTTGGGAAATGGAAAAATTTTTTTTATTGGTAAAAATTGTTAAATTTTATGAAGCGATATTTTGTTCAATTTTTTATGAATATCTAGTGGTGCATGTGTTTTTCTTGTAAAAGTTGTTGAGTTTTATGAAAAGGTCTTTTTAATCAATTTTCTACATAAAATTTAGTGTCGCACATGTTTTTTTCTTCTATAACATCCAATTTTTGATAATACAAAGTCACATTGTTTTAAATAGGCAGCTGTGCCTCATCATTTTAATTCGTTTAGGGAATATTTCAATATTTTTTGTGTATTTAATTTTTGTTTAAATCAATATCAGACAAAGATTAACAAGCAAGGGGTGTAGAATAATGTTCTGTTGCAATACAATTTTTAGTGAGATCAAAACAGAAAAAAACAATTTGTTTTAAATTTTCACCTAAAAAAATTCTAAATTTAGGATTTACAATCTTGTTCAAATTATACTTTCCAAATATACAAATTTATGTTCAATATGAAATAAAATATTTGAAAATTGTTTTTTTTTTGCTTCTCATGTATAAATTGAGACACCTTGTAAACATCAAACATTATTTTTGTATACTTCAATGGTTTCATGCTTTAAATAAATACACTATAGATATAAAAAAATCGAACCCAAGAGATCCTAACAATTTTTTGTCTATTTTCACGAGAAATATGAGAAAACTAACGTAAGTGGCAGAACTAGTCCACCCTGTATATGACAACTTGAAATTATCCACTTTCAACACCTTATCACTTCTGTTTTGTTACCAAATAATTATTCTTTTTCTTTTAGTAACAGAATGCACAGCTTTAACTGTAGTTTACACAAATAACAATTTCTTTTTTGTCACTTACATATTTTTCTTTTTCAGTGATACAATTAATAACTTTTTAACATTATTCTTTGAACGAAATGTTTCTAAATGTATTATATTCATTTTGGCATCTTTAATTTTGAAAAAAGCTTATCTGTGTGTTATTACTCGATTTAATTTCTAGTTCGGGAGATAATAAAAAATATTTTCTTTGCACATTTCAGCTTGTTTAACTTTTCTTAGAAACTAAAGAATGAAAGTAAAATATCCGAAAATATAGAATTTTCCAATATCATTAAGAAATCCATTAAAGAATGCGATATCCAAATCACCTGCTTTAGTTTTCAATTCGATCGTCCGGCATTTTTCTGTCTTGTATCCTTTTCTGTGTTGGTGTTGGCACTGGTGGTGTTTTATGTAAATTTTTGCTTAGTATAAATTAAGGGTGCCATATACGGGATGCTAGCCGCTGTGCTGGCGCTAGCGACATTTTCTCTTGTTGCAGTGGTTTCCTCCGGAGCGACACGCTCCTCGGTACGGTGAACCTGAAGCTGCAGCCCCTGGAAACTCAGTGCGAGCTGCACGACAGCTTTGATGTGAGTACCTTTATCATTCCATATAGTATCGGTTAGTTGTGGTGACACAAGGGTGTACAGTGCGTTAGAAGTGTGACTGCCGTAATTTTAATATTTGACAGTATACGTTAAAATAAACAAAAAACCTTGGGACTTAAAAAGTCCGTGATGCTCTTGAAATAGACCCATATTTTGAGCTTGGCCCGTAACACTTATTTGGAAAACGGGTAAACATAGCGACTCAAATTAAAAAAACTAATCGAAAGAGAAAATTGTTCCCTAATGCTACTAACTGTGTAATAGCTTTTCAAAATAAATTTTTTTATTGTTTAAATTTATGGAGTAAACTGTGCAAGAAATCGCCATATTTACAATTTATTTCCTTAAAAATTAAGTTTTAAATCAAAAATTGCTTATACGAGGGAAGTGGGTCTATGCAGGGATACCAAAATTATATCGATTTGATAAAAATTACTCAAAATTCTATGCTAAATCCCCTACACCTACAACTTTAGAAACGAATATACAGGGTGTTTCTAAACTATAGTGCCAAATGAATATGACAGATAGAAAATGTCATTTTGAGCAAAAAGTTTCATGTAAATATAGGTCCGAAAATGCATAATAAAAAAGTTACAGGGTGATAAAGGTACAGTTTGAGAAACAATTTTTCGCAATAACTTCTAGACAAGTTAGGCAATTTAAATGAATCTTGGTGCAGTTTCTTAGACACTAAAATGCAACAATTTCGTGCAAAAATTTATTCCCATCGTCCAGAAGTGGAGAGCCGGGGTAGCACATAGGATTTTATTATGAAAAAAAAATTGTCCTTTGCATTTTCGGAAAATTGATCAAATTTTCAATTGATCAACCACACATGTTTTACTAAATGGGATGAGCTCAAGTACCACTCAGAAACAGAAAACGGACAACGAAATCTCATTCATATACGTTCTCAATTGAGACAGTATTGAATTAAACAATCAGTGATTTTAAAATAAAACGTTTTTTTGTGATTTTCTTTTGAATGGAAGGATAAATAAGAGGATAATAATATTTAAGGATGTTATTAACCATGTCTTAAGTGTTAAAAAATATATATATATACAGGGTGGCCCAAAAAAAAACGAATATTTTTATTAGAGGTCGCTCAGATTTTTAAAAATTTCCAAAATCGTCAAAAATTTAATTTTTTTTTAAATTTTTTTTCTCGTTATTTTATCGTTTTCTAGGTTGAAAAAAATATCGATTCTGAAAATTTCAAATCGATATTTTAATTTCTAAAGGTCACTCATAATTATTTTAATTTTCACAGTAGTGTACTTACAATGTTTTTGAGTGATCTCTAAAAATAAATATCAACAAACTAATAATTTTTTTTATTGAATTTGATGAGCAAAAGAATAGAAATAAATCACGAGACACTTAAAAAATTTCTTGAGGCAAAATTTACTACCGCACTGTATCAAATACATATTTATAATTTGTTAATTTTTTTAAATTTAAGTGTCTTGATTTATTTCTATTCTTTTGTTCATCAAATTCAATAAAAAAAAAACTATTAGTTCGTTGATATTTATTTTTAGAGGTCGCCCGAAAACATAGGTTTTGACAGTTACAATAATTATGACCTTTAGAAATTAAAATATCGATTTGAAATTTTCTGAATCGATTTTTTTTCAACCCAGAAAATGATAAAATAACGAGAAAAAAATTCTATTTTTGACGATTTTGGAAATTTTTAAAAATCTTGAGCGGCCTCTAAAAAAATTTTTTTGACCTGATTTTTTGAGAGGGTTCACATATTTTCACAAGACACGAAAAAAAAATCGATTTTTTTGGGCCACCCCTAGTATACAGGGTGTGCCTTTAACACTCGCTCTGCCAATATCTCCGAAATGAAGAAATTTATTTTAGTTCCGGAAACTGGGGTTGTTAGGTCCCTCGAATAGCTTCAAATTGCAGTTAGAATTGTTAGTTCAAATCTTTCTGTATAGATGGCGAGGCGATATTAAATTTTTTTTTGATTCCTGTAACGTGGATATGCGGTCCATCTGAAAGATAGTTAAATTTTGGGTCATTTTTGTAGTATAAAGTTTTTCCTAATATTTACTTGTTTTCGAGACATGTCGACTTCAATATGCAATGTATGATGTGACAAGAAAATCTATTTAAATCACATTGAGACAAAATATTCTCTTAAAATATTGTTATAATGGCTTTATTCACATCATATACTAACTAATAAGCAATAAATTATAAAAAAAAAACAAATGTTCAGCTTCAGAAAAAATATTGTACAATGGTAAATCTTATAACTAGTATAGTTAAACCTTGCCAGATAAAACTGTAATTATTGGAAAATTAATATGTGTCATCTGTCAAACATGTTTTATTTTAAACAAATGATATGAGCCACCTATGACTTAATTTTTGAATAATAGTTGATTTGATTTGATAAGATTTACCATTGTACAATTTTTTTTTCTGTATGTTTTTTATAATTTATTATTTGTTAGTTAGTATGTGGTGTGAATAAAGCCATTATAATAATATTTTAAAAGAATCTTTTGTCTCAATGTAAATTAAATAAAATAATAGATTGTCCTGTTACATCATACATTGCATATTGAAGTCGAAAACAAATATTGGGAAAAAAATGTATATTATAAAAATTACTTAAAATTTAATGATTTTTCAGATGGACCTCATTTCCATGTTTTAGCAATTAAAAAACTTTTTAGTATTGTCACGCCATCTGTACAGAAAGATTTGAACTAAGAATTCTAACTGCAATTTGAAGCTATTCGAGGGACTTAGCAACCCCAGTTTTCGGAACTAAAATAAATTTCTTCATTTTGGAGATATTGGCAGTGGGAGTGTTAAATGGCACATCCTGTGTATATTCATAAATAGTACAAAATGGCGACTCTGGAGCCATTCTCGCGAGGTATGTTGGGTTTGTGACGCTCTGCGGCAAGCATTATATCTGACTCGAATTTTAAGATGGCAGAAACAAAAAATTTTCTCTTAATATACATGAGTTTGGTTAAAGAAATATCTAGGGGATTTTTGTGTTATTGGTGAGCATTTGAAGAAAAAAGTTTAAATTTTGAAAAAAAAGGGTCAATCATTTGTCAATAAATAATGTTAAGAACAACTTCTCAAATATCCCGTATCTACCTCTCTGTTATTTTAACGATATGGTCGAAATTTGGAGTGAATAGAATGAAAATTGTTGAAATTATGCTGTTTTAAAAAATCGTGTTTCTCAGTTTGTAGGGGTACCCAAAGCTTCCATATATAATTTTTTTAAGTATGTGAAATATCGAAGGTATTTACATGTATATTTTTTCAAATTTAATGTTTTTATTTGTAGTTATTGGAAGGCAGGAAAAAAGTAGGTGGCAAACTGGAGGTCAGAATTAGACTTCGAAACCCTATAGTTACCCAACAAGTCGAACAGGTCCAAGAAAAATGGCTCATTCTTGACCAGTAATATATTATTTCCACATACCTTACGTATTTTAAAATATTAATGTTATTGGATATTTTGATACTGGATAGATAGAGTTTGCTAAAAGTAACTCTTTCAGTAGAACATACTTATGTTATTGTGATTTCTGAGATAGCTTTAAGATATTAATATGTACATTTTATGTGATGCATTTTTTATTAGTTGAAGGTTAAAAAGGGCTAGTACACGAAAGCGGAGGATGTTGTGTACATGTGTTCGTTAAGATTTATAGTTTCCCTTACGCCTTAGCTCTGATAAGCTCAACGTCTTTGTAATGCTTCGAGTAACCTTCAATGAGAAAACTGTGCCTTTTAGTTATGTCTATAAGTTGCTGATTTAATACCATGTAACTCATTATATTGTTGAGTAAATAAGTTATTTTTAAGGGGCTTGTTTTATTGTTCCTCCGAGATCCCGAAAGTTCTTAGCTTTTAAATGGTAAAACAAAATTTCAAGATGTGTTTAATTTAAAAAAAAATGGGAAATAAGTAGGCTTGCTCTCTTTTTTTTTCTTGACAACTTGTGAAAATTCCAATAGTGATAATTTGATAATGAAGCAAAGTGAACTTTGTTGAATGAAATTTACAAATTAAAAAATTAAAATAGGAAGATCTCCACTCGGATTGCAGATACACTTACCAAATTTTTGTTTTTCATAATCAACCGAGGTATAAACAGGTTTCTTTTTCACAGAATTCTGATGGTTGTTTAAGTTACAGCAATGTGAAGTCTGTAAAATGAAATGTATTAAATTAAAATTTAAGTAGACCTACCTACAAAAAATTGAAAAATAAAAGAACACATTTATCAATTGAGACGGTGAGGCAGATGTTTCAGGTGGCGTTATTTTAGGACAGGGATGCACAGACTTATAGGGAACAGGGGCCACTCGAGAAAAATATAAGCCAAGGACGGGCCACTACAACCAATATTTATTAACACAAATTTTTTTATTTTTAAATAGTATGAAATACAATGATAAAAATAAAATAACCTTCAAAAATGTTTGTTGTAATAATTATGTAATCATTACAATGTAATATTTCATGTTTTATTATTTTGATGCATGACATTGCATTGAACTAACAAGTTTTTTTATATTTGGCTCCACATTACTTGTAGCCACACGTATAATTGCTTCCAAATTTTCATTTGCCAGACGGTTTCGGTTTTTCGTTTTGTTAAGTTTCATCACTGAAAACGTTTGTTCACAAATATACGTCGATNCCCCGCACAAATCTTATGGAAATTGGGTCCCGGTCAAATTCGCTGAATTTTTGATATGTGATAGAGTTCATCATACTGGTCAATTGTCTCAATGGCCACAAAGCTCAAAAATGGATAGTTTGGCCGGTACAGAGCTTTAAAGCTCCGAATATCCTCCACGGATTTATGTATATGCGCAGTGTGTATAGACTTTTGAAATAGCCTATTTCATTTTTTTTTATTATCTGGGTTTATATTTTTGAGGTTGCTGAATTCAGATCTGTTGTTAGATTTTCAAAATTGACAGTTGGCAGCGGATTTAAAATTTAAATATGTACATGAACTGGGCTACAGAAAATATAACAGGACTGAAAATATTGACAAGTGACGAACACAGTGCCGTTTGAGAACAGTGTCGTACTAAAATATTCTTATTCTGGGGAAAATTAGTATAATCAACAGAAGATTTCATAGAGAAACCAGAAGAATAGATATTGAAACAAAAAACAGGAGATCTCATAGTGAAAACAGTAGAACAGGAGAGTGAGAGTGAAAACAGGAGATCTCCTGTTAAAACAGGAGATCTGGTAACACTG